TAATATCCCAGTGCATTAGACTTTCTTAAATTTAAGAAATGTATCCAAATGCACATTTTTTTTTCACTCAAGTAGTTAGCAGCATGACAAGGGCTTGTTTGACTATTAAACCATAACTGATTTTTGACAAATACCTTATGCATCTCACTTACCTACACAAATACAGGTTTCTATTTCTATAGATTTCTTTCAAATAACTGTTTTTGCATTAATCTATTACTCAAATTATTTCATTGATTAAAAATGTACTTTTAATATTTCTTCAGCAAAACTTTCTACAGTGAAAAGGGGTATAGATTGTCAATTGATATAATATAGCAACTTTGAAAAACATAGAAGCATGATACATATTTTAAATAACTTTATTTCTCTAGGGAATTTACCTCATCACCTTGCTAGCTAAATCCCTCTTGAGTTTAAGTTCTTGGTACTGATTACCGGCTCCAGAATATTTAATCAGAATATTAGAAATACCCAAGGTGCTGAAGCCTGGAGAGAGACGTTTAAATAAAGTAATAAAGACAGTGATCCCATAATGAAGGCCTCCACTGATGCAACAGCGCGAGGCAGCCTCACCCACAAGTGCAGCCCCCATAATGCCCTGCAATGACCTCCACACTGGCCAGCAGAGACCACTGTCTCAAGGGGTGACAGACAATTTAGTCCTTTATCCTTTTGTCATTGAAAGCGACTCCACTGCCATAAATTCTAATCAAGTCAAACCGGAGGGCAATTTGAAAGAAAAATATCTTATAATGCATGTTTCTGTGAGAAAGATCACAGAAAGGAAAAGAAAAACACAATATAGTACATTCTGTAGCATGGAGGAATCCCGGAGCCAACTTGAAGACCTTTTCCAACAGCTCACAGATAAATGGCACTGAAAATATCCACTCTTACAAGTATCATTGCATGCATTTCTTTTACCCTAGAAAAGCACAATATCAGAAGAGAAAATCAACCACAAATTTTTTACTTTGGATGCAATGCTTATACATGGTTTTGTAGTTCCATCTCAGCTCAAGGCTTTTAGCTGTGTGCCCAATTCACCCACAGTGTAGTACAGCTGAGAAGCCAGCCACCGAGACTAACATAGCCACCCAAGATAGCTGGGACTTAAAGGAAAGAAATCATGAGGTTTAACTTGAAACAATAAAAATTTTCCCAGGAGAAACACTGTTAATAAATCATCTTTCAAATCTCAAATATATATAGGAGAAAATATTTAGGGCATGTTTTATGAGATCTCACTTCTTCAACTGAGAGTGCATGGGAAAACTTCAGTGCACATATTTTTTCCAAGGATATATATTAGTTTTATCCTTTCCGAGGCCATTTTCCCGACCAAGTTGTTGATGCTACCATTTGAATTTTAGCATCCAACTTGACTGAATGTGGAACACTGAATTCTTGATGGGCATAACTAAAAGTGAAGCACCACATTGACACAAGTACTATAAATGTCACTAGAGAAACACAGCAACCTCTTCCCTTTAAGACTGTTTGCCAAAGGCCAGTTTTAAGAATGGTTTCCAATATGTACATCGCTAGTCACATATTAAATGACTGGCTCTGTGTAGCATCACTCATCTGATCACACAGCTAAAGCCCTGTGAGACACAGCGCCAAGATTCTCTCTGATAATCTCCCACCCCCAACCACACGCAAACCTATTCTCCTCCAAGCTGTTTCTTACGGCTCAGAGCTTAGCATAATACAGTCATGAACTGAAAAAGGAGATAGTTATCCTACAGGATTTAGAAGAATAAATAATGTACCACTTAATGATATCACAGAGAACTACCTAACTACATGTTTCTCAAAGAAATGTGGATTCATCTCTCCTAAGTGTACTTTAGTTTCCATGGCTGTTCAAGTTAAGCAAAATGTTACCACTGATGTAATTACTTTATAAAACACAAGGGCCCTTTTCTGAACTTTCTACTTAGGCTGGCATATGGCTTCTCCTTTCTCCTTCTGGTATTCTGAGCTGCTCAGAGCACTGAAACATTCTGCACAGTATGTTTCCCTTTGGATGCTGTTAAGTACAGAGGTGCAATTTAAGCAGAGGCATAAAAGGCCCAATGGTTCCTCGAATTTCCTTTGTTTATCCATAGAGGGCATCAGTATTAGCCTTTCTCCTGCAGTTTTGGGCTGAAGGTGCCATACTGTGAGGGAAACAGACTTGTCCTCTGGACTGCTAATTTGAACAAGCCACAGATGGGGGAATAGGCTTCAAAGAAATCCATTTATACTGAAATTTCAGGTACAACAAAAAAACCTGAGCTCTGCTTGTCTCCTGTTGGTTAATGTCTCTCTATGAAACTAAACACATCAAGATGCACATGATTTGTCATAATCTGCCCCTTTCATTAGAGAAGCCCAATTTTCAATAATACAGTGTATATATAGAAGAATGATAGTTTGAGAGAGTGCGTATATTAGAAAATTATTGTTTAGATAAAAACATAGATGCTGTCAACTATTCAGGAAGAATGCAATTTTTCCTTATCAAGTAAAGGATATAATCAGGACTATATCTAAAAACAAAAACCAGAGTTGAACATATGCTTATCAAAGAAAATCATGGTTCCTTAAATTGTGTTGCCAAAGTTGCTAAAAATTCTGGGACAGAATTATTCTGGAAAGTTTTAGTCAGTTGCATAAACTAGAATTGCCAAGGCTAAGTCCTAGTAATATTAAAAAGTAAGAGCATAACAGGCCCTCAAAGAGAAGGAAATCTTATGAGAACATTAGGGTGCCTTCTTCCTAATCCTTTCTCTTCTTACTTTCTCGTACTGTCTCTAGTTTTTTCTCAGGTTCTCAAAACTGTTAATCTACTGATTTCTTTTTGACCTAATTGGAAACTGGGAAATACCTGCGTTGTGTTTGAAAAGCATTCTAGAGACCAAAGCCAATTAAGTGAACTCAAAAGGAATATAAGATCTAGGATGTAGACTTTGCTGTGTTCTCTCATACAAACTCAGAAGTTGAGAACGTCAAAATGAAAAGTGGATGCCTTCTAAAATCCACTATGATCTTAACACTAAACTATGAATCCTTAGTAAATGGCACCTACAAAGATATTACTTTTGAATTAAACTTTTAATTCAAACCTCTTTACCATCTTGGAATTTTTGAAGTGTATTGCTCTACACATGCAAATCAATGTTCCACACTTGGAACCCCTAAACAAATGAAAAAAAATCGATCACCCCACTTTTGGATTACTTAAAAGAAAACAAGTTAGAGCTCCAAGCTCAAGTCTACAAAATCCATTTACTTCTTTTTAAAATGCATGCAAAGTTTAGGAACAAAAATTTATTATCTGTAGCTTGTTGAACTCAAAATTGATTACTTTTTAAAAGTCAAGGTGCTTACTTAGCATATTCAACATCAGAGGGGCTTGGACATGGCTTTTGCCTTCCTGTAATTTATCATTTTATCTGACTTTTCTCACTACTCTCTTAAAACTGAAGTGAAGGTTTTAGGGACTAATTCTTCCTATATGAATAAAAATTTAGACTATTAAAAAAATTTCTTTAGGGTGAAAATGCTAAAACTCGAATGCACGGGTTAAGAAATTTATGTCAGAGATGGCACTGCTGCTTTTCAAAGAAAGGGTACCACCACAGAATTCTTGAAATTGGAATCTAGTATATTGTTAAGCATAAAATAGTATTGTACCAAGAGAAAATCTGAAAAGCAACGTTTCTCTGTGACATTTCTCTAATGTTTGATTAAGAATTTAAAATTAAGGAAAAGCTCATCTGTTGAAGCAAGCGCCAAACTCTCAAGGCAGTTTTCTTTCTGTAGGTTAAAATAAAGAAATAAATAAAGCCTGTGTTTTAAGCTGAACTGCTGACTTGCTTAATAAAGTAGCAGTCTATGTAATGATTTTTTTTTGAAGTTCAGGTACGTGATTGTTTTTTACCTGAGACCAAGCAATACTCTGCCATATATATATATATATATGTATGTGTGTGTGTGTATATATATATGTGTGTGTGTGTGTATATATATATATATATCAGATTAGTATATATACATATGTCTATGTGTGTGTGCACACACAGGCACTTGAAAATAATTAAAAGCAAATGTTTCAGGAACAATTGTTCTGAAAACCTAACATCACCCTGAACCCTAAAGTGCTTCTCCAGCAGAGACATCCATTAACATCTATCACTCAGGCACGCGCCTCAACAACCTGCTCCCCTTTCTGATTAGAGATCACAGTTGCTTGAGTTGGCTTACAGAGTGTCATCTGTTTGAATGACAGATGTCTTTGCTGGAGTGGCACTTTGCTTGTTCTTGTTTTGTTTATGAAACAAAGATTCCCAAAAGGTCCTGGGCTGCCTCTACTTTTAGTTATTGAGGCTATAAACAGCATGTTGAAAGGGAGAGGGGTAACGGAGGGAATCAGAGAACCTGTTTTCTTTCCTCATCACCTTTTTAAAAGAAGAAATATTCATTCTGATTGTGATGACACAATGTTATTTCTCAGAGCAATTCTCGTGGCCACCTTTGTTTACCTGGCATAGCACGACTTGTATTGATATTTTTCAGTTCTCCTCTCCCATCTTCAGATGACAGATAATGTCTTTACTCACCTTCCCCTTAACAAAAGGCTGCAAAGCAACCTGAAACCGAGTCGATATTGACTCAATAAATGTTAACCAGTTCTCACAATGGAACTGATTTCTTGATTATTATTATCACTTTCTCTTTTTTTTCCCAAATAATTTCCAGCCTGGGGACTCTAGCCATATTTGACAAGTCAAAATGGGCAGCGAATAAGTTCCTTGTTGGTAAAAGTTTGGAGGACATCCTCCTAGCCGGCTGGAATCAGCTTCGGTGGTTTAGCACCTCCAAGATGCTCCTTTTTAGTACTTACAAGAAAACTGAATGAACAACAGAAAAAAAAGGGGGGTAAGGGGGTTGGATTGCTCTTCCGGACAACATGGTAGTACTGAAATGAAATACCTAGACAGACTTACCGAAGAGCTTGCTGGGAGTGTCCTCGCTGTCATTTGATTCCACAGGCGCAAGCAGGGGCTCATTCAGCTCGCTGTCTGAAGTAGCAGCCTTGTCCTCACCTCTCAACTCCGCATTCATTTCACTCCGCACTGACAGCAAGGGCTTACTGACTTGTCCAGCTATCATTGGATCCTAGGATGGGCAAAAAGAGTGAAGGGGAGGAAAAAAAAGTGGCAGCTTTAGAGTGCGTGTCCTCTCTCTCCCTCTCCCTCTCTTCTCTCTCTCTCTTCCACACACACTCTCCCTCTCTCCTCTCTCTCTTATCTCTGGCTGCTCCCGCTGTTATTGCTGGCTGCAGTCAAGTGAAGAGCTATTACAGATCCGATGAGTTCTCCATTACTCCCCACCCTATTAAAGCTCAACTAGCATGTGAGAGATTCAGGAGGCTTCGGAGGAAAAAAAAAAAAAAAAAAAAACTTCTTTGAAAGCAACCTAACCGGCACAGCTTTAATTGTGGGATATGCTTTTGTGCGAATGTTTTTACACCTTGTTCTGTCTTTAATGCAGTAAGAAAAAAAGAAAGTGCTGGGCTTGTACTTCAGCAACATACTAAAAAGGAAGAGCACCCTATGGAGGAACCACAGGCTATTTTAAGAAGCCTTCTCCCCGGGGGAGAAGCAATTAAACCCTATCCCAAGAGCAGAGAAAAAAGATAGGGAGAAAAGAGACCTCGAAAGGCTTTCAATGGAATAAAAGATATTTCTTATGTAAATTCTATAAGCACCCTTAGAAGTTGGCTTCCCTGGTCCCAGATTGGGAACCGGAGCTGACCCCAAATCAAATGAACATTTTAAAGCAAATAATATACAACACAATATACGAAAATTGATTTTAAAAATGTTTAAGGAATTGGGAAAATACTTACAAACTGTGTTCAATAATTCGGATGCCTAGAGCATCCTATACCCAGAGCATTAAAGAAAAAGAAAACAAAAATCACCTCCAGAAAAGACAAACTTTTTCCCCTAATTATTTAGATCTGCTTTATCTTCAGCTCATTTAGGAGGGCATTTTAGGATCAGAAATATTTCCCAAGTATAGTCTTTTATTCCATTTGCAAACTGAGATGCATAATATTGCTTTGACACAATATTGGATGCAGAAGGAAGAGCAAGAAGTGCCCTTTTTGTGAGATCTGGGAGCTATTTATTTCCAAGTTCATGCCTAAATGGTTCCTGAGCAGGAAACAGGTGACCAGCACAGAAGCAGGTGGGCGGCAGGCTCCCGGGTCCCACCATTGCATTGGTTGCGTTATGCCTGTGTGTTTTTTTTTAATGTATTCATGCCTGAAAAGTGAATTTGATATGACACATGATAATCTATGAAAATGTTAATCAATACAAATAGTTTAAGCTGTCATCAAATGCACTTCTTTAGTCAATACTCATACCATTGAAAACAATGTCACTGTCACCAGGGCTTAATTTGCACAGCACTTAAATATTGGACTCTGTGCATCAATGCACTTCTTCTTCAAATACTGTAGGTAAACACATTTTCTCCCTATTTAAGGCTGAAGCACTCAGCACGCATTTAGCTGAGCCGAATCCTCCCTTTTGAATACCTTGATAGGTCCACTGGAGGGCAAAATTAATACTTAATTGAATCTCACAGTCATCAAAATAATCAATACTTTTTTATTATTTATTCTTTACAGTCTGTTGACTGTTTCAAACCTCTGAGGGAATGGTGGAAAGGATTCATGGCTTTGAAACACTGTCATTTAACAAGGTAATTTTCAGTGGGGCATTAGGGGTTGTGAAACATATAATAAAACAAAAATGGTGGCTTATAATAGGAAGAAAGAAAAGAATTATATTTCTGCCATCTAACAAAACAGGATAAATAAAAAAGCAAGTGCAGAGAGAGAGAGAGAGAGCAAGAAAGGAGGGGGACGAGGGAGAGAGAAAGACTGGCTTTTGAAGGGTTTTATCATATCAAGAGCAGAGCCGAGCTTTCATAATGCTGACATTTCTCATCCTGACAATCCTAAACAAGTGGAAAGGATGAGATCGCAGATATCATCTTTCATCACATTCCCCAGCTTAAGAACCAACATGACAGCTCCTCTCCCCTTTACACTGTTAATTACTAAATAAAATACTACTCTCTGTCAGCACCAGATTATTGCAGATAGCAACCACAAACATTTCTCCATTGTTTTTCCCCCTCAGAAATGGTGATACCTACCTTGAACTCTTTAGAAAAGAAATTAGACTTGTCTCACCGTATTGTAAATATTTGAAATATGATCAATGTAATCAATGTGGTCGATTCACAGTATTGTCAGCTTGAATTTGCTAGTGATAGATTAGCATTTTGTTTACTGGGTCTTGTCGCTGGGATTTGGAGTGCTTGAAACTTGGGGGAGATGAGGGAGGCAGGCAGACGGGAAAGGAGACACACAATTCTAAAGATTTCTCCAGATCTCTTTCCTAAATATCTAAGAAAGCATTCATGTTTGAGTTCTGATTTAGTTGGTGTGAGGATGGGTACGGAGGGGAACAACGCTTGCTGCTTGACCTCATGGTGTTCCTAAGCATACTCGTCATGTGATGTAAAGATCCCAGGCTTACATTCTAGTCCATACTTTTTACTTTATAAAAGGTTGAATCCTCAATTTCTGTAATCTAAAGGAAGGGGTGTGACCTGTACCTTTGAGACACCCAGTCTCTGTCGCTGCACTGCTCATCTGAGCATTTTTTAAGGTAACGTTAATGATAAACTTATGTTGAGAAGAGCAGTCTTATGATAAGTCAGACATGATTATTAATGTGCCAGTGAATATCTGGGTAAACTTAAGAAAGAATATTTTGCTCTTGCTTTATTTGTGAAGGGTCAAACTGAATCCCGAATCACACCGACGGGCTGAAATGCAGCTGCTGGGTACAAGTGCACTTAAATCTTTAGATGTTCTGCCTGGCTGATGTGTGCAAAGCATGCACTGGCAGATGGTATATGTTCACTGACCATTAGTTCTTCCTCCTCAAATTACTTTTACGTGCCTCATACATGGCTAGGTTCCCAGCTAGTGCCTTTCACTGACTTGAGCTTCAAAAATCCAAGAGTTCATCATTCAAGTACTCATTTGATTTTTTTTTGTCTTACAAAATACCTTACGTTTTCCATGATGGAGTTGTAGCCCACATATATGTGTGTGTGTGTGTGTGTGTGTGCGCGCGCATGTGTGTGTGTGTGTGCATGACATGGTTAAACAGCAAACCCCCAGTGAGGCAGAGAGCAGACAGCTTTTAATCACAGCTGCAGCCACTGGGGGGTCCATTTGAAAATGTGTCACAAGCAGTAACCACTGAGTACAGACTTATAAGTGATGGGGGAGTGCCTCTTTCAAGTAGCACTCGGCTTGGAAGTCATTCTCTCTCTGCCAAGAGCCATAGCAGTCTGTGAAATCCTTTCTGCCTGAGTGAAGAGAGGATTTTCTAACATGTATCTACATAGGTGCTTGTAGAAATGTAAGAGCCTTGCAACTTCAGCCTGTACAAGGATCTCTGCAGTGGTAAACAGGAACAGAAATAGCTAGTACAGGTGAGAAATAAAATAGAGCTGATGAAGACTTCTTACCTGAAACTCTGAAATTGTTACTATCACAATAGAAGATGCTGAGACTTCTTTGCAATACATCTATCAGCCCTGACAGAAGAAAGTGACTGGTCCACCATGGAACAGTATTGCATGTGTGCAAGGATAGGATGTGGCATGTGCCAATACAGGACACTCACAGGGGCCACCAGAGGCCCAAGAACCAGACGGTGAAAAAGGGAGAAGCAAGAGAGGTAGTTTGTGTTACAAATCACAAAAAAAAAATTTCACTGCATCCTACGAGGAGAGGACTGCAATCAACATCAGAAACTGCACAGTGATGGCCAGGCACGGTGGCTCACGCCTATAATCCCAGCACTTTGGGAGGCCGAGGCGGGTGGATCACAAGGTCAAGAGATCGAGACCATCCTGGTCAACATGGTGAAACCCTGTCTCTACTAAAAATACAAAAATTAGCTGGGCATGGTGGCGCGCGCCTGTAGTCCCAGCTACTCGGGAGGCTGAGGCAGGAGAATTGCTTGGACCCAGGAGGCGGAGGTTGCAGTGAGCCGAGATCGTGACATTGCACTCCAGCCTGGGTAACAAGAGTGAAACTTCATCTCGAAAAAAAAAAAAAAAGAAACTACACAGTGATTATTTGTCTCCTTCAAGCATTATTAAGGAATAAAAATAGGTCCCGCTTGCTGAATGCCTTTACCAGACAGGCTCCTCAGATAGATCTAATGTTACCCCAGCTATTCAAGGTATTAGCCCCATCATACAGATAAGAGATGGAGGCTCAGTAGGCTAAGTTTCTTGCGCCAAAGGCACGCAGCTAAATGGTAAAGCTGTATTTTTCAGCCATAGCAGATTTATCTCCAAACGTCAGCATCTTTTTTACCCAGTAGGCATTGGGTGAAAAATTCAAGGCTTATGGACTTAGTAACTCATGGAGTATCCCAGATTTTGGATTATGAGCCAGAGCCAGTGGCTCTGAAGAGAGTTAAAGCCTGAATAATCTAGTCCCAGACATGCTGTGTGTAGTATCATCTTCTCTACAGAAGGTAGGAACAAAACAGCTCTCTGGCTGACATTGCTTGAATGAAATCTATGGGGCAATATAGTATAGCAGACAGGACATCAGAGAGTGTTCAATACCCAGGCTTGCATGCAGCTTCACGCTCTAGATAAACATGGCAAGCCACTTAACCACGTTTGACCTTGGTTTTTTTGTCTAGAAAGTGAAAAGGCTATAATAACCCAATATTTCCCAAAGTGCATTACACAAAACACTTGTCCCAAAAGATATTCTACAATAAAAGAGCTCTGCAGTTGTACCCACGTGGAAAACTCGGCAGGGAAGTCTACCAGGAAAGAAAGTCCATCTAACTATCTAACTCTCTTATCCTAGCATTTCCCAAAATTATTTGACCATGGGAGGTCTTTGCCTTATAACTCTTATTTAATAGACCTGGAACGTGCCAGGTTAGATTATCCATAAATTATGGCACTAATTGTTAATGATTCTATAATACTAAGCTCAAAAACTTCTGCAAGTACATATTTGTCCGATGCTTCTCACATTCTAACAA